CCTCACGGTGGCTTCCAGCCTGGAATTGCTGCCCGGGTCCCTAGCTGGGCCAGCCCATGCATGAAGTTTGATCAAATCATATCAGAAATTGTCTGCGGATACTACTCACTGTGAAGTATGTTCCCTTCTCAATGACTCAGTCATTTAGAGTCCTTTATAGGACACTGGACATGAGGGTGATGGTGCAGAGGGGCCCTGCACTAGCACCAACATGCTGCATCGCAGGCACATGCAGCTAATGAACCTACCCAGCTCTTCTCTAGCTGGGATCAGAATAAGGCCAAATTTGCAGCACCAAGTCCTGATTGCCTCAGGCATGAGGAGAAGGCAGTGTTTTGGGAGGGGATATCCAGAGGTTTCAGCACTAGGCAGTCTCTAGCCTTCAGGAAAATGCAGAGAGGGAAGGAGAAACAACCGAAATTAGCTTCAACCCTGGAAAAAGGAGACAGTCTTGTAAGAGTTTTCCTCCTCTTACCAGAAACATTTGTCCAGCATCTGTGTTTCTTTCAACCCTGTTGTTCTTCTCAGCAGACAGCGTAATTTGACCCAGAGGATTTTGGCTATCTAAGCTATGCCTAATCATTTTGGCCCCATTACATCACTACAAAACAGTTCAAAATAGAGGGCCCTTTTAATAGATTTCTTGCTTCAGCTAACAAAAATTATTCAAACTTCAGTTTTAGCTGGGCTTATTAAAGCAGGACTGTGTTTAAGTTATAGTAATTGTCAATAAAGTCTTTTATAGCAGATTTAACTCGGCATATTTTAGATCTTGCCAATTTGAGACAGTTTCCATAAAAAGGAGAACAGCAATGTTACAGAGTGATAACTCAAAAATGGAAAAAAGGAATTATTTAGCATAAAAGGAATTATTTAACATAGTAAAAGGGGGTATAACTAGGAGTAATGGGAGGAAATTAATAAAGGGAATATATCAGTAGGGGAAAAAGAAAAACCTGACTTTAAGTTAACCAATAGAAAAATCTCCCCAGAGAGCAAGGAGTGGCCCACTGCTAGCCAATTTTAAAATAACTGGACAAAACATCTCCAAGTAAATATATAGTCTGGAAATAATTTTGCACCTGTAGAGACAGAAGACTTGGTTACCATTCTGTCCCCCACTTCTAAATTTTATGAAAGTGAGCAAGTAATTTGAGCTTTCTGATTGACAAACCTAGTGAAATTCAGCATCCTCACTGCTGAGATGTAATTGCACAGCTTTTATCTTTGCCAGCATCAGAAGATGAGTGGAAAAAAAAAGGAAGCAAAAGTGTTGGGGTTTTGTTTTGTGGGTTTTTTTTCTTTTTATTTGACATTCATTTTGTTGGTCTGAATGATTAGTTATAGTTGGGTTATCTAGTAATAATTTGTTCCTTCACTGACATTAAGAGAACAAAAAATTATTTACACTAAAAAATGCTGCATAACAATAACCTAAGTTGTAATTTTTTTAATCAATCATTTGTAAGAGTAAAATAAAGCAGAAAAGACAAAATATACAGAGATATCACAGCCATATCAAAATGCAATAATTTCTCAAAATTCAGAATCGAAATTAACATCCTTCTGAACTCTGTTTTGCAAGACATTACATATGACATTGCGTTTGTTCAAGAGAAGTAATGGAGGAAATACGAATGTGTTTGTGAGGTTTAATATTTTTTTACAATTGTTTTAAACCTACTCAAAAAACACTGATTTTTTTAGACAAATAGCAAGTCTGCAGATATAAAGCAAGATATCCCATACCAGTTGCAATACTTGTTCAATAAAAAGGATGAAACTGTTCTCTTGGTGTTGGGCCTTTTTGGATAGTATAAAACTTAGTTATTCAATATCTGCATTAATACAACAGGTAACTTATTTATTAGTCCATAGAACAATTTAATTGAATGTGTGATTGAAACTAGAAAATACAAATCCTCTGAATAGTTTCTGTATATTTAGTATTATCATATGTTTTGAAACAAAGAAATAAAATAATCAACAGATTTGATTATAGCATCATTATGTGTGAAAGCATTGCAACAATTTTTTAAAACATTGTCATAAACAGTGTATACGTAATTCAGGATTTAATATATATATATTTTATTTTCTTTAAATATAAAGACCTATCTTTACCCCCAAATTTACAACATGCCACAAACCTGATTTCAGTCTGACACACAGCTGATTTCAGTCTGATCTACAGTGAAAACAGAAATCACAACAACAAGTCTGACAGACTCGGACTAAAGCAATGTTAACCTGTACAGCTAAGATATTGCAGGATTATATAAGTTTCAGTTTACTTTTACTGTTGTATGGGCTTGCTACGAGCACATTACAAATTTGGTGGGGTCTGAACAAGTTTTTTTCTTATTATGTAAGGGCAGGTGCTTATATTAAAACTTGTGCTTATCATATATTTGTCCTTTATTTTTAAGAATCAAAATATGTATAAAGCAGAGACTTTTAAAAACAAATGACTACAGAACTCCTCTATAAAACAGAAATACTTATAGTACATTACACAAATATTGATGCTACTGTTTAGAAGTTTTAAATAGCATATTTAAGCATGTAAAATTATGTTTTATAGTGTGATTAATATTGCTAAAAGATTAATACATTGATTGATAGAGGGGAGCTTAGGTTTACAGGGTTTTTTATTAAAATAAAAGCATGGTGCACATCAGTTCTCTTTAAACATGTAAAATTAAGAAATGGATTTTTAGACCTTCCTGGGCATTATTTCATTTAGTATAGAACTTCAAAGTAATCTAAGCTTTGCATGTAAATACACAGCTAAAATAAATAAATTACAAGGGAAAAAAAAAATAAATCCAACTTTAAATAAGGTCATGTAGTTTGAGATCAGTGTATTTTTTTTGTTTGGCATAAGATAGAATGACTTCCTTACCTGATCCTCCCTAGCAATGTTGCCAGCTTTTGGGCTATAAATAAGAAACTGGAGTAACAAAACAAGTAGTCATATTGCAACTAAAAGCTTATGATTGCATCATAAAAAGATGTAAATCATTACCATTTTTACATTTAAAATCTCTATTCAAGTATGTTTGAGCATTTCAGGGCAAAATAATTCCAAAAAAAATTAATATTGAGGTTTAAATTTAAGCACTTTTCAGAAATGATTCAGAGTAATGTTTTTTTTACATAATGCTGTGACTCACCACTTACACTGAGGGATATCAACTGATTCACGTGTGTAAAAAGTGTGGAGGGTGAAGTGGAAGCTAAAGATACACTTGAAACATAGTACCTCTTCTGTCTCCAGGTGCCATGACATGCTAATAAGAATAGTGTGTTCGTGCACATCCAAATAAACTTCAATAACCATTCATCCCTTCTGCTTATAGGTAACCAGTATATCCAGAAATAGAGCATGTTTTATATGGATGTACATATATAAAATGCCAAATTATTTTGGCAGTTCATTACAATGCCAAATTCAATAAGATATACAAACATTCAAAGGAAGAATTTACTCCTTGAACAACCTGCTTCCTTAAAAATAAGTAGTATCAGTGCAGGTACTCCATTAAAACATGCTTTAAATTCAATATATTATCACTTCACTTATATCCAGCAGATAAACAAATGGTGTAATAAGACTCTGGAGGCTGATTTTTTAAAATATTTGATTATTTTTCTACTATTTAAAAATCTCACAACTTCAGAACTGAGCTAATTTACAACAAGAACATCATAAAATTGGGCAAGGAAACTGTAGATAATATTGTATGCATTTAATTTTAAATATCTAATATCTTTGGAGAAAGATAAAATTACATCTTAAAAATACCCCATATTTTAATAATACAATTTAACTGTAATAGAGTAATTGAAGAAAGAAAGCATTCTATAAATTGTCTTCCCTTCAGAATTTAAGGAAAAGCCATTATTTTAATATTCCTCCATATCTACATTTTCTAATTTGGTTCTGTTCACTTCCCTTTGCTTCCTATTTTCCTGCATTCTCTCTATTTTAACAGATGTAGTTAAAAAAATCATATTTATAGCCATGGTTTCTAATTATTTTCATTTCTAAGAATTGGATGCTTGGGAAAAATTATATTATCACAAGTAACATCCTTCTGAAAACTGTGACAAAAACAAAAAGCTGTTTCAGTAAGGTACTGTTTCAGCACCTTACCTCTGCCCAAGAAGGTAGATAAGGGGATCTTTTACAAGACAGTTTAGTCACCCCATGCCATGTCAACTGTTGGGAACACAAAAACAGTGAGGCTAGAAAGTAAAACCTTAGGACTTTATCTCTTTTATCCTTCTTAAGATCTACCACTTATTAACATTGTTTGATAATACAGACTAAGTTTTACCTAAAAAAACAAAAAGGCATCACAAATGTTTGCCTCACTCTGTTCTGTGCAAAACAAGAATACACTCCAAATCTTATTTATTTGCCTATGACTGTTTAGTATCTTATCCGTAATTATAAAAGAACACGGTCTTCGCGTTTGATTACACTTTGGTTTAATAATATGTAAGTAAATTCTATAATGTTGATGCAGAATTTTGCAACTGAGCATTTCCCTTCCCTGTAGTACTGTGAGATTCAGAAGGTAAACCACACACTCATTCTAACAAAGCAATATAATAGGGGTGGAGGGGAAAAGCAATTTGGAATCTATAGGAAGGTTACCATAAAATTTACATTTTCAATAAAATATAAGTAGCCACCATTTTGCTGTAATCCCAGAGCAGCAACGAAATGGTGGTACAGAAGAAAACTACCCTATCAGACACATTTCATCATTGCTTCTATCCATCACTATCTTCTTTCGCTAGCGTGATTATCATTTACTTTTCTCCTCCTTAGAAGCAACATCCTAATTTTAGATTAAAAATTGATAGATGCAACATAGTAAATAGTTAAGATATAATTATCAAACTAACACTACATACTGTACAAGTCCTCTTCTCTTCCCCCCCCCCCCCCCCCCGCCACACTTCAAACTGCAAAAAAGTACTGCATAGTGTTTCTATCACAGAGTGATGAACACATCTCTTGGAACTGCTACTGTATGAAAGCTGTATCCTAGAGGTAGAACATATGTTATGGAATATGGCTGCTGCATTGGTCAGTATGTGTTTTAATTACTATATGATGAGATATACATAAGTAACACTCAGAAGATCGAAATGACTTAAACTAATTGATTTTATTGTAACGTGCAATATTGCATTTTGTGAAGCATTTTATACTGAAGTGAATAGGCATATTGACATACTCAGTTTAGAAATGTATATTAAAGCATCAATTTTGTTATGCAATGCCATTTTCTTGTTTGTTTTGTTATTGCAGGCTTTTCAGAAGGTGTGGAAAGGAGTGCCTACTTGTACATAAAGGGAGAAACAGTATTTGTAGATTAGTACAGGTCTATTCTGTGATATTGTGCTGTATATATTAAAAGAATTCATGAAGTTTATTCTGTAACCTCTGCAGAAGCACTATGTGCTATGAGCTTTATTAACTAAGTCTTAAATTTATAATAAATCAGAAAAGTATATTCTGTAATATATTTTCTAAAACTGTGCTTGATGTTTATCCCTTAAAATATGTAACGAACTTAAGATGAAAGACATTTTCAAATACAGGATGTCATAGTAAAATGTTCTTGTTTTACAGACACAAGTTGAATATTTTAGATTCCAATATCATGTTTTAACTGATAAATCACAAAACACAAAATGTGGGTCATTTAAGTGATAATGGTTACTGAATTTAATTGTTTTTACGAAAACCTTTCGAAAAATCCTTAATGATGTGAAATTTGTTTGTACAAATCTGCAATTATGTTCAAGTAAAACAAATGTCCTCTTCCTTCTTAAGTACTTCCATTCTTTCCCAATTCAAAGCAAAGAGTATTTAGGTAACACTGCCACCTATTGCTTAAAGGTCATAGTTACTAAAATCTGCTATAGGTTTTTGTCACTCATCATTGCTTGTTTTGACTATTATGCTTTCATTATTTCTAATAACCGAGTGAGACTTTTATATTCTTTCATATAACACACAATAAGTATCTGCCTTCAGTACTATGGCTATTATTTATCAGGAATTAATGAAAACTTAAGAAACTTTCAATATTGTTGAAATTAAGTTTCTAGAAAATGGTAAAGAACATAATTTCAAACACAAAATCCACCCAGAAAATTAACAAATGGAGAATTCTTCAGGCTATAACATGACAAATATTGCAAAATCCAATTTATTGGTTAAATAAAATTATTTGATATAATACAAAGTAACATAATTCTTGCTAACATTTTTCAAGTGGATAGGCAAATACTCAAACTGTAAACATGCATCTGCAGGTCTTTTAGGGACATGACTTTAAAAGCATGAAAATAAGTCACTATAAGATCAGACCTGATTCTTTCCAGTAAATAGTTCTGTTTTCAGGACAACCATCAAAAGATCACTAATTCCACATCTAATTAAGAATCATGCCAAAACCTTTGTCAGCTTGGGGAAAAAAGTGAGAGAAAGAAAATTACTTCTACTTTTTTAAGAGAAAAATTGAGAAAAATATACTTAATTATACTAAGTAAAGAAAGTAATATGAATCAATCAGGAAGATAACGTAACACCTGTTATATAAACTATATAAGTACTGTCTAGATTAATTTACAGTAATATAGAAAGATTACTTAGTTTGGAAGACAATTTATTGTTGAAAGGCTCTTTTCTATCCTCAGTGTATTACTCAGTTTGCATGTGTAAAATAAGTTGATTTTACTACTTCACTACTGGGAAGTAACTGTATATTGTATAAAATCCCTTATATTCTCTTCTATTATTAGAAGAAAAACTACAAATCCATTTTTCTTGTGCCCAAAAATGTTCAGAGTCACTATGCACAACGTGTGACATTTGCCCTGTATTAAAATCTCTCTATGAGTCCAGTTGTACTTCTAACATTTGTGAAATTGTAAGGTAGATGGATGTACTTAAGGAGAGCAAAAATAGAAAATATTTCAAAAAATAAAAGTGAGTTGATTTGGGGGGTTTTGTTGATTGTTTTGTTGGGGTTTTTTTCTGCTTGTTTTTGTTGGTTGGTTGGTTGGGTTTTTTTAACTAAATGATGTATTTTAGATTTCAAATATTTAAAAAGTCCGTGGTAGCAGAGCAAGTTTCAGGGAGTTTTTCTACTAACAGAAGGAATCTATATGAAGGTTAAATTTCTCATGGACTCAATTTTTTTTTTCTGTAAAACAGAAACAACATAGAAACAAAACCTGGTTTTGCAGTTAGGGACTTCCAATCTTTTCCCCACTCATACGATTTTACCCTACAACATTTTTAGCCATTTACCTCCTACTAGAAGGTTACCTCTCAAAAAAGTCAACTATCACAGCCAAGTAGTATCCAGAGCTAATGTCAGAAAGGGAATAACTGAATACAAATAGACATCTGTACACTTATTTTTTATCTTTTCTGGTTTATTTCTTATTTCTACACTCTCAGCTCCAACAGCAACAAAAGATTTTTGCACTGGGGTAAAACTGAAAAAATGTACTTTGTTTTCTCTTTTATTACTCCTTTAAAGAAAACAAATATTCAACACCTAGAAATTTCTGTATTAAAGGAAAAAGTTGGAAAATTTTCAGATTTCATTAAATGTTTATGTACTCAAAGCAATTTGGCACCAGAGTATTCAACCTTAAATTCACTCAACTTAGTACAGTAGAATGAATTATTAATTTTCTAATTGGTAAACATTGCTTTGTAATGTAATTACTTGTTTAATGCACCATTTTATGTAAATATCAGACCTAAAAGTCTGGTGCTTTTAATAAATTTTCCTTGATGAAATACACCACTTGTATATATTCACATACAAAAATATGTCCTCATTATCTCCTTCAACTTTCTTTTAGAAACTGCAATGTTTCCTGAACAAATGCTTTGTGACATCAAAAGTTTGCAGGTGTATTTTTCCCCACCTCTTTTACTACCTAAATTCTGATACAGCTGGACATAAAGGTTATATCAGCAAAAATTATATTAACTTAAAAGAATATTCAAAATGTTTAAAAATAACAACAGAAAAAAAAGAATATATTAAATTAAGTGTAGGAAGACTAGAACAGGTAGGGCATGCAATACAATATCTAAAATCCAAAAGATACAGAAGGCACTCATTAATAACTTGTTAATTTTATCTCCAACATAAATTTCACACTTGCAGTAAACCAGTACTTTTCATAGCTAGGCTAAAAATCAGTATAATTTTGCCTGTCCTATACAGGGAGATAAACAGGCAGGCACATGTATACTGAAATGATTGTGAAAATGCTAGCATGCCTTGCCTCATAACATCTGTGTGCTAAAATACTTATTTCAAACAAAGGTGCAACTTAATGCAAGGAATAAATACAACATGGGTGAAAAAAGTATTTTCCTTAGCTATCTGCAATATTAAACTACACACCTCAGATCAGAATATACATTAAAATGCAGAGATGGTTATACTTCAACAGCTAACATCATCATTACTTTTATACCTTGACTTTACTAGATCATTGCTTTAAATGAGCATCACAGAACCAATGGAGCTTTAGTCTCTATGTTACATTTTCTTTATAATCATTTTCAATTTATTTTTTTTCTTGCATGTCATCATTTTAATGTAAATCTTTCTTTTTCTTTTCAATAAAATGAAATGATTAAGTAATCCTGCTTTTTGCATGATTAAAGATGACGGATAAGCTTGGGTGGATAAAAATCAAGGCTCCTAGCAGAATCTGTGCACCTCGCATGTCAGAATCCTTCCAGCTTGTTCAGTGCTAATGACAGAAAAAATTAGCATGTGTGTGAGTTGCCTAAAAAGAATAACAAGCTACCTTTAAGGACCTAACCATATCTCTAAACTAAATTTTAAACAGTCGTTTTCCATAATTTTCTGTAATAAGCCCTGATGAATTGTTTTGAAACAGATTAAGAGAAAAATCTTTGTTTAGAGCAATAATAAATGTTCATTAAATCTATCAGTGACTACTACTGGACTGTTTAATCCCCACCTTTTAATCACCAGATATAACACATTTAGAAAATAAAATGCAAGGAATACAATATATGACGATACAATATGCTGAAGATAGTGCAAACCTGACAAAAAACAATGACATATTTTTATTAGCCAGTCAGATATGACTTACTTTTAAAGAACAGGAAAAAACTCCTAACTACTGATTTTTGCCAGTGTCTCTTTCCTTTTAAGAGCCCTATGCAATATGTGTTCAGGCTTTTCTGACTGAGACAAGAAAACTAGAAAGGGGATATTACAATACAGCACATACATACTGCCATCGCCTCTAGACATATGACCCAAAATGATGGTAAGAAGTCTTTCTCTGACCTCCTGCTAACCAGCCTCTTGTGATTAATTCAGCATGTCCTTGAAAGTATCTGCTAGAGATCCTTGTTTGTTTTTTTTTTAATTTAAGAGTTTCTGAAGCCCACCTAGAGTTTTACCGATGCATCTTATCTACTTATTTATTGATTTATTTATTTTTATCAGACCAAAAGCATTAATCTATGAACAGAGGTCTGTAGTAACAGAAAAACACCACCTGCCTAAGCATTCACCAAATAGGACCATAAATACCACAACATTTCCTGACCTAAGTTTCATAGACATCTGTATCATGGTAACACTGCATTTCCTTTCTTTGACAGATGAAATTACTATTCTTTGATTCCCCCCCCCCCCTCTTTTTTTCTGATTATGTTCTGGATGGCAAAATTTGGGCCACAAAATGCTAATTTCTAACCTAACACCATGACAGCAATCACAGCCATCACAAGGATGGAATAAAGAGAGCAATCTAACATCCAGGGATATGAATTTCTGATCAGTGGCTGGCAGACTGCCGTGAAAGCTTACAGTAATCCCATTGGACAGCTAGGGTTGATGAAGCCTGGGAACAGGCAGCCACAATGTAGGTAGTTCACAATTGCAAGCATTTGTCCATAATTTAAAGCTATATGAGAAGTGGAGAGTATTCATCTGAACAACAAGCTGTAATTTAACTAGAGTAACATTTACACAGTTTTTAACCCATTAAGTCCAC